GTTGTGGGGCAGGCAGGGAAGTGGGAGAGAGCAGCACACAGAGTTCAGTGCAGCAGGAGCAGAGGATAACTGAGGCACTTTTTCTTGGCAAAATGAATGTCAGGTTGCATCTCCTTTCTTCTCTCTTACAACCATTTATTAGAAACAAGGCTCAAATGCTGGAACTGAAGAGAGAAGAAAATCAAAGCACAGAGATCATATTCAAGGAGAATAGTCCACCTATAAATAAATAATTGAATATATATGGGAAATATTTTTATTTCTGTGCAGACAGGTCCAAATTCAACCTGTCTTGTTATGGTAGGTGGGGTAGCAGCCAAGGATGGGTCTTTGCCAACCATTTAGGTCCAGTCGAATGCAAATTTATCTGTGATTGAGCAAAACAGAATAAATAAAATAACCAAACCCATTAGAAGCTACTTTCAAGAGATTGAATCATTAAAGAACAGTGCTGAGTTGACTGAAAAGTAGAGAAAATCATCCAAGATTGGTTTCTACTTACAGACTGGCTAAATAATGCAGCTTGCTTTGAGGTGACATCATTCATTCGTTTAACAGATACATAAAAAAATAAATATACCGTGCACTCAGTCTGATTAAGGCTCTATTCCAGCCTCTGAACACACAATGGCAAGCAAGGACTGAACAAGACCTCCCATCGTGGAACATACCTGGCAGAGAGGACAGAATGGAATAAGGACTGTGCTTGGTCAGTCGCTCATTGATGAGGGGACCAGATTCCTTCTACAAGCATGTAACTCAGGGAGGCAAAGCTCTTAAACTGTTGAATTGGAGTATTTGTGTGAGAGCAGTGCAAGGTGTGTGAGGTGAGGCAGGAGCATTCTGCACCAGAACTTTTCACATTCACTCTCTCTCTCTCAGCGTCTGTCTGGGGTCTGGACTTCTGAGAAACAGGTTCACAAAACCACAGCCAGTGTTGGCAGTCAGCAGAACAGTCCTGGAGAGTGAGGAGGCCAAATCACCTTTATTCAATCCTTTCCCAAATTCCCTACCGATTAAGAGGTGCTCACAGAAGTTAGGAGAATGGGAAAAGCATACCAGCTTCAGCTCTGGAATGGCTGTTTCACAGTGCTGACATGGCTAGGACTGTGGAGAATAAGGCCATGGAGTCAACTGAGGAATTGGCACATTCAGTGAAAAAGACTTGTTTGAAAAGCCTTTGTTATTTACTCAGAGCTGCATTGCAGGACAACAGGCAAACCAGGGCTGGGTGCTGGCTTGCAGGCACTCCACCCAGATTCCCTTGGATCTGCCCTCAGCGCTCACACAGTCCACCAGTGGCTCTCCCCTGGGGGGCCGCCCTCAGGCTCCCGGAGCCTGCCCAGCCCCTGTTGATGACATCCTCCCCGGGGCATCCCCTAACTGGAGACTGATGGGGGCATCAGGATGAGAGCCCTTAACTTCAAGCAGGACAATGAGGCATACAGCTCCCAAGAGCTGGGGTGAAGCCCAGTCTGTGGGACTCGGCTGAGATCGCCCATTGCTCACCTCCCTCCCTTCTCCACCCTGACCTTTCATTTCTTTACCAGGTTCCCCCGGAGCACTTCCTTAATACCTTCCTTTACCCAGACTTTCATCTGGGGGCCTGCTTCTGGGGAATGCAACCTAAGACCCTGGACAACTGTGACGTGTTCTTTTACTACCATGTCCAGACTTCCTGTTATACATAATCATCACCCAAGACTCCTTCCAAGAATTGCCTCTGGTCAGCAGAAACGGGGCATTTTCTGATTCTCAAGTGAGGGAAGGGAGCTTGTGACACACAGTCAGAGCAAGATAGGAGAGACCTAGTAGTCATAAGGTAGCTATCTCCCAAAGGTGTCTTCAAGGGGTGCTAGTAACAAACAGTCAACAGATAACAAAGTGTTTGTGCAAAGAAATATTAAGTGTCTCTCATTTTGCCGCAATTTTAACTTTCTTTCGCTGGTAGTTGAAAGTGAAGCTTAACTCTCACAGAGGATGATCTACATCTATCCTGGCCTAAGAAGAGGGATGGGGTGCAGTCCTAATAAACTTTATGAATTTGTACTTTTAGATAGTGAGGCTTGAGAGTTCTCAGTTTATGATAAATTTGCATTTGACACTTACTCTGATTTTGTCACTGTTCTAGGTGCTGAACTCACAACGGTAAAAAGGTTAGATCACAATCCTACCCTCATGGACATTAGATTGGACCTAAATGGTTCTCTCTTGGAAGCCTCCTCTTTCCTTTTAGTAGGGTTTATAAAAAACAAAACACAAAAAACAATGCTGTACAAAGCAGCAGGCAGCGTGGGGGAAACGCACATAAATGGTACCTTAGCCACGGGAGGAATGACGGAGGGACAAAAGAAGGGCCTAGCAGCTCAAGTCTCACACTGCTTCTCCACCAGATACACACTTTGAGCTCCCTGTGTTAACTACAAAGCCCTTTGGACATGAGCAACATGTGCACCAGGTCAGCCTGGAAGAACCCTGGAAGTTACATGGTGACTCACTGGGCTCAAAGGCACAGTAATAAAGTAGGTCACATGCTGCACCCTGCTCTGGAGGCTGGCACTATATTTCTTGGTTTTATGAGAAAACTCTCTGAGAGTCCAGGCTCCACAGTCTTTCCATCCTATTCATTCCTATAAAATGATTTCTTTCTTCCTCTGAAAGGTCCTGCACAGCTGTCTGGCACCGTGCTCTCTGAACAAGAGCCACATGTGACTGAAAGCAGACAGCTACCTGGTTTCCATCACCGGGGTTCGGCTCGGGATCACACATCATCCCCAGCATTCTGGGTAATTTGTAAGGAATACACCACTTGACTTCCAGCCTGCTTGGGATGTGTTACAGGAAGGCTTCAACCTGCAGAAATAGAAGATGGTGAAAAGATCATCCTGAGGTTGAACAACTTTTGCAGAAATGCTGTTACTGGAGCAGAAAAAGCATAGAGTTGTAACACATCCCTTAAGAATCTGATTGTTGTCTCAGGACTCAGGGGCAAGGCCAGAGCAAGCTACTCTGATGGCCAGCTGCCATCCCTGAACGAGTAGATCTGGGCTGGCCCTGGATGCAGCAGGTGAAGACCGACTGATTCAGGCTCCCACCAGTCTTTCTGGCATCCAAACAGGGATGACAGCACTGAACTACTGGGTGGGAGCAGAGGGGGCTGAGTTTCCAGTGAGAATAAGAGGCAAAAGCATCGTACTCTCCATTAAGAAGCTTTGTGAAAATGAGGAACGCAAAGTGTCAGCTGCTCCTGGAGGTGCCTCTGAGACCCCCTGGCCTGCAGAACCCATCACCTCCTGGAATCCACAGCCCATCCTTCTCCTCCATCCCTCCTTCCCTGTGGTCTCCGTTCGTGAGACATTTATCAGTGGGGAGGCATTTTGGAAAAGGGAGATCTCGTCCAGCTCCTGGAAATTACAAGAATAAATAATGGCACCTCTGGCATCACTGAACTTACTGTGAAATCAAATCCCCACCAGGGCACACACTCCATCCCACAGTAGGCTGGTTGGTGGATACTGAGAGGTGGACTTGGGTATTTTCCCATGACTGGCCCAAGGTTTCTGGTTGTGGGTTGGATCAAGGGACACACTCTCAGAGTGAAGCCACTGCCACATTAAGGGCCTTATTTTGGGGGTACAGATTGGAGGGCAGGTGGAATTCAGAGCCTCTAAATTTTGAGTGGGCCAAAGTAGACATTGACAAAAGACAGCTCTTTAAAATGTCCTAAGTCATTCTAGGACTATGGGAACATTCCATGTTCCCAAATAATAGCCCCACCCATAAACTATGATCTCTCACAGCAGCAGTAAGATAGAGTGGTTAAAAGCACACCCCTTTGGTGTTAGACCTAAATTGGGATCCCAGCTTTGCACAGGAGCTGTGTAGCCTTAAGTGTGTCACCTCTCTCTCTGAGACTCAATTTCCTGTACCAGTGGGAAGATTGGGAAGATCAAATGAGATAAATACAAGTAAAACTGGGCAGATTTTAAGTGCCCAGTGAGTGTTAGCTATTATTATTTATATGATCATTGTTAGGCAAAACACTTATTACAGTGGATACAATAAGTGCTCAAAAATATAGCTCAATTAGATCATAATTATTATAGTTCTCAGCAAGTATTAAACTCATTTTAAGCTCTTCAAAGTAGCAGGGTCTTGTTAATTATTACTATTATTATTATTATTGTCATGAACATTATTACCTTAGGGAGCTGAGAAACTTCTAAAATCATGGATGATGATGTGTTTGGTAGCTTTACCACATTTAGCTGACAGTCTAGGGACTCACAGACTTCTGCCCACAGACTTCTTAACAGACGTTTTAGAACATGACTAGGGACCAAGATGATGACGTAGGCTGGGTGACTTCTCGCAGATCATTTCCATGACCAGTTACTGTGGGGCACGGGGAGAAATAGGGAATAAAGAGGCCAGGTCTGGGAGGTCTAGCAGAGTGAATAGTACTGTCTGGAACATGAACATGAAGGAAACTCATATTTATTCAGATTTTACCACGTGCTGCCATGTAGGCTCACTCATCCCATCCTCCCGGTGACTCTTGAGAGAAGTAACACAATTTCCATTCTTGCAAAAGATTGAGCTAGTCTTGGAGAAGGTGACTAACTTATCCATGGAGCAGGTTAACCGCAAAGTCAGGATGAGAGCCTGGGACCATGTGGACTCTTTTCCATGTCCTGTAATGCAGGGGGTATGGTCACAAAGCAAAATACGGTGAAGGACATGTTCACAGAACAAGAAAATTCACTGCTGAAAACCTTCTCATGCCCTCGTGACATTCTCTGAAGATGATTTCAGTGCAGGCGGCTTCTGGTTCTCACTTTCAGGGCCATGTCCCAAGAGTGATAACGAGACACCTTAGGAGACCTTCCCCCTGACATTCCTGACAACTCTCAAGATAAGTGACCAGCCCTTGACCAACAGGAAGGCTTGTGATCCTCAGCTGCTAAAGACCAAGGCTGTGAGACAGACGATGACTCTCTGTTTCTTGATTTCCCTTCCTGCAGAGAAGGCCTCTGCGCACATGGTGTCCTGGAACTGGAGGAGAGGAGCTGAGAATAAGAAGAGGAAAGGAGCCCGAATGTGAGTAGTTTATCTGATGATGCAGACTCGCTTAGTATCTGTGTTCTTCTCCATTAAAAAATCAAAAGAAACAGGTAATGAGGGTAGACATTTTTAAGTAGGCTTTGAAGAATAGGATTCTGGACTTCCTCTTTCTCTCCTTCAAGACTATATTGAAAGCCAGCCAAAAATTAGCTTCTTTCATTTTTTCATTTTTTTTTGTGCTGTTTACTCTGTTTTGGGTTCAGGTTTCTTCTCTCTTGCCTTTTTGTTATAATAATTTATTTGTAAGGGCCCAGTTCTATGGCAGACTCAACTTTTCCTGGAATCCACTGACTCTTGGCTTCACAGAAACCTACTCAACTTCTCAAGGCCTAGAAGATTTTCAGATTCCTTTGAAAGAGAAAGAGAGAGAGAAAGAATTATTTCTCCATATTTGCAAGGGTTCAGGCTGCCTCGGATGGTGGGGAGGGGATTCTCCTAGGGTAATTTGCAGTCACTAGGGTTGGAGAATCAGCATATGCCTTTCTTCATTCCAGAGTTCATCCATCAGTTTCCAAAGAGGAAGATGGTGTTTACTACTGAAATTTGGCTTTCCTGGCACCAAAAGCCCAACAAAGCAATTGTCGGGAATTAGGAAGGTAAGGACCAGCTCTTCCCAGCTGAATTCTGAGGCATAAAGCAAGTCTTATTTCCACTGCCTACCCTCTGTTAAACATCATCTCTCCTTTACCAGTCCTATTGTTGGGCCCCACTGGTGCTCTCATTCCCTGTACATATCACTCCCACAAGGCATTGCTCCTACCCAACTGTTAGAGGCACATTCTTTCGTATGTATGTAATATGCTATGTGCCAGCCTGTGATAGAAGCTGAGGATCTAAAGAGGAGTAAGAGACAACATTCATATGAAGACAGACACTCCCAGACTAGTAGAAGAGAAAGACACACACACAGAGTAATTATAAATGCTATAATAAAGTAATACAAAAGGTTCAGCAGTTTTGGGTTTTGTTTGGGCTGAATTAAGATAAAAAGACCCAATGAACAAATTACCCCTAAGGTGTTAATTGATGGTTACTTAAGAATTATGCTTTCAAGAGTTAGGGGAATTATTCATGCTTGTTATCTTGAATTCACCACGATGTTTGATTTCATGGTTATCCAGCATTTCTGGGAATAATTACAGTATAGAAATGTTCTTGTCAGAAACTCAATATCAAGACTATTAATTAATAAAAACACTGCTGCTGAGAAACCAAGAAACTTGTAAGCAGACTGTGTGTCTGCTGAGAATTTCTGTGCAACTCCAGTTTGCCGAACTCTCATTACCTCGCAGACACTGACTGCTGACTCCTTTCCCTGAGTGCAGATTGAGTGCCTTCGTGTCCAGTTTCCATGTTCGATCCTTGAGCCTGTTTCTGGGACTCTTCAAAATTGTTTTCTCTCCTCCATAGCCACATGAATCTTCTTTCACAAAAAGGCAACATTATCTTGTGGTTCAGGGAGTTTATTTCATAGATACTATTTAGATCAGATTGCATTTCTCTAATATGAGAATTAATACCAGATTCTTAGCACAGATGATGTTTCTCTTCTGTTTTTTTTTCTATTTAACTAACATATTGTAGCCAGACTATACGTGAACCCTTATACCAAGTGCCTTTCCATAGAATATTTCATGTACTTTTCCCCTTCATTCTGTGAAGTAAATTTCAGTATCCTCATTTTTTCATCTTGGAAAAGAGACTTACAAGGATGAAGGCTCTTGCCTGAAGTTCACAGATCAAAAGTGAGAGAGGTGGAACAGGAACCCTGGTTGGTAGATTCCTGGTCCAGGGTACTCTCAGCTATGCCATGACATTCCCTACACTTTGTGCTAATATTTGAGTTTCCCTGGAAACATTATGGGCAGACCTACAGCTTAATTTCCTGTGTGATGGCCTATTTCCAGCACTGGGTGATGGCACTGCCACCTCCTGTTAAGTCATCAGTTAGGACTGTGCATGAGGAAGAGGTTTGTTGAAAGAATTCAAGGCTTGCTCACTCTGTCTTGCTTTATTTGAAAATGACTTCTCTCTCGTAGTTGGCTTTCAAGTAGCACATTGGACTTATAACTTCTTGAGCACAGAGATGCTCTCCTGAGGACATGTTCTTTATTTTAATTGAAGTCTTCATCATTGGCTGACTTCCAAGTGGTCTACCAGATGTCTTTTTCTTTGCTATAGCTGAAGTAGATTATGATGTTCCAGGTCATTTTTCCAATTTGCTGTACTTTGCTGGCAGTCAGATTTCCTTAGCAAACCACACTTGAGAGGCCAAAATCATGGAACAGGCAGCAATAAGCAAGTCTTCACAGTATGTTTCCTTAGATACTAGCAGGCAAATCTCACACACACACACACACACACACACACACACACACACACACACACACGTGTATACACACACAAACTCCTCCATCTTCTATTTCAGTGGTTAGGTCTGAATTTTCCAAATTTTCACTTCTATGTGACTTTCTCAGGATGTGCAGTCCCCAAAATGAATCCTCGGGGGACTAACTAATTGTCAAACTGGGACCTTACGAAATTTCCTTTCTTAGAAATCTTTCATATTCTTCTCCAAAGCTTGAAGAACAATACCCACTGCTTTTCTCTATGCTTTTCTTCAGTCCTATCCTTTATGTCCTGAGATGGTTTGTTGAAATGAATATCCGTGGGTGCATAGGAACAGGACAGTGCCTTAAATTTCATTCTACTTTTGGAAGCACACACACAGTTAATCCTTACTCATGACTGTATCTATAGCATCTAAAACAGTACCTGCTCCTTAGTAGTAGGTAAACAAATATTTATTGAACCAACTAACTCATAGCCCAACATCAACTGGTTGGCTAAGGCAATTTGGGGAATTTAGTCATTTCTTATTTTTACACTGATTTTCAGAGTCAATGTGACCTTTATCCCTAACTTAAGCGGCACATAAGGGGTTTCATTTTACTTTCTGATTCCATAGAGGAGCAAACTAATTAAACATATAAAACAGATGGCCATTTGGGCTTTATCGGAACCTAGGAGAGTCTCGGGGCCTCCTAAGACTTGTCCTTTGAAAGAGAACTGGAAATTTCCATCTCTTAGCCAAGTTTTGTTATCCTTAGGTGACAGTGTTAACACAGTGTTAGGATGCTTTTTCAACAAAATGCAAACAAAACCAAAAAGAAGAAAAACAATCAAATTAAACCTCACTGCCCACTGGCTGATGAAGCAGCAGATTGTTGTGTTGAGGAAGGGACCTGAACAGGGGGAGGTGGCAGTTTCCGAACAAACTGTATTGTGTGAACAATTTTATTTAGTGCGGAAAAAAAAAAGAAAGTCCCTCATATGGATGATTTATTTGGAAGTTCTGAGCAGATTAACTTTTGGTAAGAGTCAGAACTAAAAACTTTATTGGGAATGCTACGTACACTCCAAAGACCAACAAGAGAATTTAAGTTAGATGTGATTAGTATGAAGAAAGTTACATTTATTGTACTCTTATGTATAATTGATCACATAAAAGGCCTTTTGTAACTATAAAAGAGACAGCCCATTAAATTGTTTTACCCTGAGGATTATACAAATTTGCGGATATTGGATTGGATCACCAGCCTATTGGTTTCATAGCAATGGTAAATCATTAAGGTGCTTATTTCTATTCATTTTCATATATCTGTCTTGCTATTTATTATTAGCCGAATAGCTCCTCCCAGTTTTGGCTTTATTTTCAAACAGATGAACCAATCATTCTGCCTCTTTACCACCAGCAAATGATCTTGAGGGATCTTGGAAGAAAATTTTTGGCAAGAACATAATTATGTTATTTAGTCACGGACAGAGAGTACATAGAGAAAGTCAGAGGCCATCTTATCTCTTGGTTTGAGTAGAGAGACCATAACGTCTGGCATTACTTCGTGCAAATTATTTGAGTTCATTTCCAGACCTTTGACTATTCAGATAAGAATGCGCTCGGAGAGTTAAACGTTAAGTTATGAATATTACCTGGCACATATGGGACGAGCAAATTGGCTCCTATGCTCATGCTAGAGAAGGTTATTGAGGTTGATTCCCATTCCTTATTTATGTCAGATGGCTCACAGAAAAACATAACCTGAGACTCCTCCTATAGCTGATTAAGGAGCATACAGTTGACATTACAGCCTGTATTAAGGAATGAGGCTGATCCAATTTATCATTGTCTGTTCCCTTGATTTACAGTTTTCATTTGGAGAAATATACCTGCCAGATCTCAGTCATTAGAAATGGAAGTAGTAGAAATCAGATGTTTGTGCTGACATGTAGAACTTCTCCAGTTAAGCATCCCATATACATTTTCTAAGGCTAGTAATGACTACCCAGCCTGGTGTTTTCCAGGCACTGCAGAAACTTTGAGATGTACTTGCTGCCAAGGATACCTCCAGAATCTACTCTACCCTTTGTCCCCAAAGCCATCTATGCCCTATGCTGATTTTTTACTTTGTGTAAGATCAATTTCACTTGAATTTTAACTGGAGAGGTCAAAAGGTGTGCGTGTATCTATAAATCTAGGGTTCTGTCAGCCAAATGCAATTTGGTCGAAAGAGAGAGAGGAATGGAGGGAGGGAGGGAGGTGGTGATAAATAAATGGTATTCAGTTTAAAATGAAGTCTCTCAATTAGCATTTAACATTTTTTAAAATAATCAAGATATTAAAGCTAGACAGAAGTTAATGAGCCTATGGAGACAGTAACTTCTAAAGATCATTTTGTGCTTGGGATGTTAATTGCTTTATGACATTTTGGTGTCATTACAACATGAAATTAAGAGGGCAAAATGTTTCCAGAGTGTTTCTTTGGATACCCTGTTAGGAAGCTATTAAAAGGCAAGATTACGCTGGCAAAACGATTGCAGTGTGTGCCTTTGGGTACCTGCTTCACAAAACGTCATGAATTGAGGCAACAATGCAAAATGATTCCAGTGTGTGTCTCTGAGTAGGCACCCATTCCAGCGCTGGTATGCTCTGATTGCAGTGGGAGATGAAACTCAAAAGCAAGAACATAGTGGAGTGGAGAAGAAATCGGTGGAGATTTGTGTCAATTACAATGTCAAAATGAAATGTGACAATCATAGGCATTAATGCTGAACTTCAAAACCCCTGAATCCAATACTGTTGAGCAATGATGTTCATGAGGTGCTGAGATTGTCTACTTCTTCTCAGTATGACAGCAATGAAGTCCTTTATTGAAGGACCAAAACAGTTTTATGTAAGAAGTTGCAGAACAATATGATTTACGGTAAGGAGAAAGTTCAATTTACAGCTGGAATTCTAAAATTGCATGAAAACGCGAAAGAACTCTTTTCTTCAGAAAATTGAAAAGGTAATATTCAAGAACAAATATTGAAATACTCTTCTGCTATTGCACCCAGAAATTAGAAGTGATAATCTATAAAAGGCTCTGCCTTTAAAAAAAATCTCTGAAACATATCTAAGAAGCACACCCAGGCACACACCAATATTCCAAGTCGCTCTTGCAGTCTCTCTCCTTCTTTTCCCCAGATGTTGTCTCCTGCTGTGTGATCTTCACATCCAAAGAGGCACTAAGACACAGAACATCTGGGATGCTCCATTAGAGGAGTTAGTGCTCAGAGAAAAAGAGAGTTAAAATAACTTATGTTTCTTTCTGTCAGTCCATAAAAGCGTGCTTACTTTTCAGATGTTTGCCAGCAGGTCAGTGTTTTGGAAAATTTAACATATTTAAAAGTCTCCTGGTGCTTATCTTTCATGCTCCTTCAGTGGGTTCATTTGAACTCCAGGTCATGTTTTATTTTGTATGTGTTGTTTGTGTATTTGTATGTGCAGCTATGTATGTGAGTGCTTCTGTGTACGTGTGCTACACTGGCTTCAAAACTATGGCAGCTAAGAATTTCTGGATGCAGTAGCAGAAGAGTCTGTCAATAGTATAGTCAGGATAGCTGTTGTGGTAAGAAAATGTGTAACCCAATTAGCCTGTACTCAGAAATAAAGAACTAAGAAATTGGTTGAGATTAATATCTCCCATCACAAACACAGTGGGAAAGTTGGTTCGCATAGGCCCCTGACAGCAGAGTGCCAATGGAACCATTAGGCACCATGCCCACCCTCTCTTCTCATGATACAACACACATTTTCCCTAAACCCTCTCTTCTGTCACAGTTATGTGAAGAAGTATAGAGTCTGCCTCATGAAACAATGGAGAGATGACCTGGGGACACATTTCCTTGACAGGGGGCTCATGGACTTTTTATATCAAAGACCTTGGGGACAAGGAGACCCACATATATTTTCTTACTCTCCAGTGTCCCTGTTTTTACCCACTTTTGTTCTGTAAAACCAAATATTAGCTGAATATTAACCAGAACAAAGAAAGAGAAGGAGCCCTATTCAATTTTGATTCAATTACGTAATTTATTGTATCTCTTAATTTTATACCTCTTGGTAGTTGCTTGGAGATTCACTTCTATTTAGGGAAAAAGGCTCTTGTCGGAATATATTTATGGGATTTTTTCTGACTGCATAAACCCCTTTAACTTTGCTCAATGACACTATAGAAACTCTCAGTGAAGTTGGAATTTCAGTTATTTGCTATTTATATATTTTATAAGCTTCTCAGAGAAAGTGGTGCTCTAAGTGCTCAGTATTATTATTAAGGTTATTATATGCATATGCACTGACAGTTTTGAAGAGTAAATATTTGTGCTAATCATATCAGTGTCATCCACTGTGCTAATTATATCAATATCAACATGCTGATATTGATATAATTAATTAGCACAAAGCTTTACGCTTCAAAAATACATGGCAGTGGCTCTGGTTCATTTGCCTAAAGAGGAGCATGTGTAAGTACAGCTCTACAATGTGATACTTAGGCTGTTCTATGCAACCAGCTTTCATAGCTGCGCCTACTATAGGAGGCCTTAGACAAGTCAATTGTTTCTTCCAGGGTTTCCTGGGGATTGGATGCTAAGACGAAAAGCATAGGAATAGCTTTCTTCCAGCATTCTACTTGGTGATCAACCGCCTATTCAAGCACAAAGCTGCTCCTGATTAACCCTGAAGACCCCAGTGGAAAGGTAGGTAGGATAAATTCAAGTGTTAAGACAGAGAGAGAAAGTAATTATCTGGAATTAACTGTTGCTATTAAACAACATTCAGTGTGGCACATTTTAAACAAAAACACTACTCGGCAATAAAAATCAGAGAGGGCAGGGTAAAAAAAGGTGTATGAGTCATAAACCACCAGAGCAGGCTGTTAACTTGAGACCACTCATTATTAATTTGAGACTATTGGTAATTGTATTACTGATAGTGACCTTACAACAACAGTTTACATGTATTGTTTTTACTCTGTATCATTTCGTTTCATGTACACAACTCTAGGAGGCACAATTATTATCCTTGTTTCATGGATGAGGAAACTAAGAAAGTGCATAGTCTGGCCCAGTCACACCACTGGTGGGTGGCAGAGCCTAGATTGGCACCAGCTCTTTGCCCACCAATCTCTGCAGTCTTCCCAATGGATGTGCAACAAGTCACCCAGGAAAAGGTGGTCCAGGAGCACTGGAGAAGTGGCTCCTTGCTCTTTTTTATGAGGACAGGAAAGAGTGCCTTGAAGCATACTTCTCTCCAAGACTACTTTGGGGCTGTCTAGAAAGAAGCATAAATCTCAACCACTTCCTTCCCAGAAAGTTAGCAAAAGTAAGGCTTAAGTACAACCTAGTCTATTTTTTTCTGGATTCATAAGCCAATAAACGGAAAGCAGTTTTTCAAAACAGATGTCAGGAGATAATGAAAAATACCAAACCTCCGTATTTTTATTAGCCAGGTCCTGATGATAGGCCAATTTAGGAAAATACATTTTTAGAATCAGATCTTTGGGTTACACTAGTCCTAATACAAATGGGAAAAAAGTGAAACCTCTAATTTGGTGGCAGGCCAAGGCTGGCTCTTCCAGAAAGAGCAGAGAAAAAAGGCCAGTGCCTCGGACCCCCACTTTCATGTTCTTTCCACGGCGCCACATGCCCCCCGCCTGCCCTGCTCTGCAGGGCGGGCCCCGCGGATTTCAGTCTCCCCCAGAGAGATGAGTAAACCTCAGGAATGCCTTATGTTCTTAAATTCAATCATGAAAAGAAATTCAGAATTGTATTTAAAAGTAGAATCACGACTCCTGCCATCTATTCATCTATTTGGCCATCATTTTCTCAATCTTTGAAGGGTCTAGTCATTACCTTAGAAACCTCCTTAGCAAAAAAAAAGAAATAATTATGATTCCATGTAAACAGGTCTCCACTTTTGCTCCTGATTTACTTTTTGCTTTGAAATTTTTTGCATATTGCCAATGCTCATTCCAGCTGACTTTGGTAAGAGTCCAAGAGAGGACCCCAGAGACAGCGGAAACACCGAGACAGCCCCCAAGGAGGAGCAGTCCACTCCAGTGCCGCTCATTTGAACCCTCTTTCGTTTCCCCAGCCCAACAGTAAAAACCTGGGGCTTGATGCCTTTCCGTGTGGGTGACGTTCTCTCCCTAGAAATTTAATGACTCCTGCTTCAGAGTGACACAATTCCTTTCTTCTTACGTGGCCAGTCTCAGAGTGGCTTCAGTTTCTCCACTCGGAGCCTCACACTTGACATCTCAGGTCTGGCATGTCCGCCTTCCCACCATGGCCACCTGTTCCTGCCTGGCCTTCCTTCCCCTCCCTGTCCAACACTGACAGTAACGGACAATTCTGTTGGTCCTGCCTGTACCTGTCCACCTCCTTCTGTTCCCTTCTTGCTTTTCTTCATTTCACCACAGGTGTCTCTGTATTCAGAGGACACCACCTTCCACGAGGCGCTCGTAAGTATCAGAACACATCGAATAGGTGGTTATGCTTTTTTCCCCACCGAGTGAATGGAACTCGTGGCCACCATCAGAGCCAGCACTTAAAAGAGCTTTTCATCTTCCAAGAACTCCTGAAGCAGATGAGGCTCCAAAGGTGGGCTTGGATAAGAGGCTTTTCTGGTCGGGTGGCTAAATGCACTGATTAAGCTCCATGTACTTTGTTTCAGGAGACAGGCACAGAGAGCTTTATCACTTCCTTTGATTCACTTCGACCCATTTCTTCACTTCTCTTTTCTTCAAAAGCTCTAGTCCACGACATACTTTTGCAGGGGGGATGCTTCAAAGAAGGACATTCTTCTGGTGTAAATGATCTGTTTCATGCCTTTGACTCCTGTCATGTCTTCAAGTGAGCCCCACAGAGAAGCCCCTTGGAGCCTTCAGTGACCCAATGTTCGCCTTTTCTTTCCATGTGTTTCTTGTCACAGAAATTCTCCAGAATAAATCCAGCCCCTCCTCTACCCTGTTTCTGTGGAAACCCTCACTGATACCCTCCTTCCATCCAGTCATCCCTATTCCAGGCCTCCTTCTTCTTACTGCAGCTGGTTCTGGTCTTCTGCTTGGGATCTTGGATTAGAAAATAATGCCCTTTAGAAAACGAATCCCAAATATCCTACGACCTTCAGTGACGGCACAGCCGGGCTGCCTCACCAGCATCTCTCGCTGTCAGGCTCTGACCATCCTGCTCCCTTCCTCACGACCTCCCTCCCTTTCTTTCCTCTTTCTCTTTCTTTTCCATCTTCCTTGCATTTCCCTGCCCCCCTCTATTTCTTCCTTCTTCCTTCCCTTCAGAAAGTGGGGCTCCCAAAGGTTAAGTAACCTTTCTACAGTCAGAAAGTGGTCAGACCAGGATTTGCATGCAGAATGAAGGACGACTCAACAGCCTTTCTTTTTCCAGTTTTGGAAGACACTATCTTACCGGCTTTGATAAGGCTTGAATCTTTGATAAACACTTGAATATTTTATATATTCCTGGAACAAAATCACACCACCTGCCTAGGCTCCATTTCCTGCCATGTAAAGATGGGGTTAGTCGGTCAGTCTTGAGCTCAGGGGGTCTTCCAGTTTAAATGGAGCCTTAGGCCTCAGAATTAGAATGTGAGCCTCAGACTGGATGTTCTTAATACAAGGATAATAATTACCTCTTACTTTAGGGATGATAAATTAAAGAATGCACGTAAGGCCCAGCATGGTTTTCTTACACATAATAAGAACGTAGTAAAAGGTGGTTACCATACATATATTCTGAAACTATTCAGGCCAAGTCCTGTGCTAGATACTCAAACCTCCAGTTCTGCATTTAGACCAGCAGGCTAAGAAAAGGTTGTGCATAGCCTCATTTACATTCTAATAAGTAATACATCTCAACCCCTGTAAATATTCCTAAGAGATGCCTTTCAGCATAAGTAACTGAAGGCACAGGGGATATTTTGGGTCTAGAATCTTCCCATGCCTTACAAATAATGCTTATAGGCAGTTACCAAAGGGACCCTGCTCATAATATCCTTTCCTGGAAAAACATCCAAGGTTGGACTATTTCCACAAATAGGACCAGGAAAATTCCCATGGTACTGAAGCACTTGTTTCCAGGGGGTTAGTGGGTCAACTACTGCTCCCTTTTCCCAGTGGAAAAGTGCAAGTTATCCCACAGGCCACAGGGCTAAAGAGAACTGATGTGGTGTGTGGGAAAGAGCACAGGACCGGGTGGGGAGGCTGGGTGCTCCTCCCAGCTCTGCCCCCGGCTTGGTGAGATCCTGGGAAAACCACTTCACCTGCCGGGTTAGATGAGCCATTCGCAGTCTCATGCCCTAGAAGCACCTGGAGAATTTTTAAAAAGGAATAAGAATTTCCGGGCCCCCCTCAGAGTTTCTAACTCAGTTACTCTGGAGTAGGGCCCAGGCATCAGTGTTTTTAGAAAGCTTGCCAGGTGATTCAAATATGCACCAGAGCTGAAACAACTTAGTAAGACTATGATTCTGTAACCTAGATCAATCTAAATCTGTTATTCTGTAACTATCCATGGGTTTGAAAACTAAATTGGAGCCAAGATATTGGGTTGTAATTCAATGTTCTTTTGTATAATCCACTGGCCCCCTTTTTTCTTTGGTGGAGAATTAGCACTAATTCGTGCATGTGATAAATCATTCTTGTGAGCCTACTATGTACAAGGTGCTTGGAGATGTCACCAAACAGCATGATTCATGCAGGCTCCGTTGCTTAGAAGAACTAAAGTTCCCCATTATCCAATTTACTTTATCCTCTGGGAAATGGTCAGAAGCTCAGGGTACTTTTCCATATGGAAAAATCACTGGGGAGAAGGCTTTTGCTGCTATAGCAGACAAAGGCATTTGGCTGACCTCCTTCTCTTTACTGATAACTGCTCAAGGAGTGGGTGAGAATCATCTCCCTTTGTACCCCTAGATTTATCCTTTCTGCTCCAGGTCCCCCTCACAGATCCAGAAGGTAATGGGAGAGGTAATCAGAGAGCTGGGCAAAGTAAAACAAAGCTAGAAATTGGCCCTCATCTTCGGTGTTGACTTAGAAAGATGGCAAAACACTCTGAGGTACTCAGAAGATTTGCATCTGAATCAGAAGTAAGTGTTCCATTTTTCAAAAATGTTTAATCTAGTTCCTCATAAACCCAAATACCCATTCATAGCCCACTTCTTTCCAGAGGAGAACTGAGGTAAAGGATCAAACTTTGACTAGACACCAAAGCAGATCTCCTTGGGGAAAGGGCCAGGTTGATGAGCTAGTCTTTGTAACATTTCTAGAAGGTCACCCACTTGTTTCCATCTGTCAAATGTCCATGTCCTTTTCTAGTCTCTGTGTATGTTGTTAGTTTTCCCTTCAGGAGCTGTCTCAAACAACCGGCTTCCCTGAGAATCTTTGAATATGGTGGTGAAAAAGCTATTGTATTATTGGAACCAGGCACAGAACATAGGCTCAATGAGGGGAGAGATGTCCTCAGAAAACCCCCTAGTCCTTGTTCCCCAGGATAAGCAGGCCCTCCTTGCAAGTCAACTTTCAATGATAGTAAGAAATTTCAAACATTCTCACAGTAAAACAAACACAGATATACTATTAAGATGCAGAAATCACATAAATTATTGAGACAGACAAATCTCGATACTTGAAGCTCACGTCTTGTTTATTACTGCCATACCTCCAAACCCCTCCCCAAGTGCCCATCTG